TAACCATCATTTAAATAATTTCTAGTTCAGGAAAAGGAAAAATACTCCATTAGATACCCCAAAGTCACAGCTTTGATGTAAATATCGGTATTTAGGATTAAAATATTATACTTAAAATCTACTCTGAAGTGCCAAATTAATGACAACTTCCTAAAGTAAACCTCATAAAAATCTTTATTAACTATGAGTTAAAAGGTACCATTTATTTTAATTTACAAATTCCCTAATAAAAGGCTAAAGTCTAGTTAATATTAAATCTTATAAAAAATATAGCAATTACAGTATTACCAATTATAAATCTCTAATGCACAAGACACACAGCATGAAAACTAAAACTAACTTGTCCAGGCTTACACAGCTAACTAATAGAGCCAGGAATCCAAGCCAGACTTAAAGGCTGTGTTCCCAATCATATTTTTATTAAACATCTTATTTTATTAAATAATTTCAACAATCCTTTAAGGAAGGTACTACTATCTTGTATTAAAGGGGGTGAAAGGACGGATGAACGAGATTAAGTAATTTCTTCAGGTCATAAAACTAGGGAAAATCTGAATTTAAGTCCACTAACTCCAAAGCACATACTTTATTTACTAACCATACATTCCATCTCAATAAATTCCCACTATAAAAAGTTTAGGAGCTTGTCAACCTCTTGAAGTGCACAGGGTTGTGCAGGGGCCAGGACCGGAGGGGATTCAGAGAAGGTGGGAGGCTGAGTTTAGTACAGGAGCAAATACTTGCCGCATATCATTAAATTCGTCTGTGCATTTCACTAAGTACTGACTTACTGAGGGACGAGTAGAAGTGGATACTTATCAGTGATAAGTAATAGTAGACTAATACTGACTTTATGGTGTCACTACACCTACTTTGTCGTATGTTTTCTTCTCTATGGTGTATTATGTGATAAACTTATTCTCATTTTAAAATTAATGTTGATTTAAGAATGCTGTAAATCTCTTGAGATAACTCTTCTGCATTCAATAAAAGCATTATAAATCACTGATTTAAACATCAGATTTGCTTCTTAATTCTCCCATTCCTTTTTCAGACAACAGGAAGGAATATACCGGATATCAACTTATCACTAACTTCAAGTGGACACTTTCTACACTTGTGAACTGCAGAGTGGTCCCTGCAGAGAAAGGACCAGTGGAATCCTTTGTCTGTCTGTCTGAGCATATGTAAATACATTCAAATGACATTTATGCAAATGAAATGTTTGTGTGATACTGGTTGTGTTATTTGGCTTGGATATAAGCTAAATGATATCGTGAACTGTCTTTATGTATACAGGCGTATGTCTTGGGGCACCTACTTCACCTCTCTGTGCCTCAGCTTACCCATAAAACAGGGACCTTCCTCACAGGATCACGGTGAGGATTAAATGTCAACAGACATGAAGGGCTCAGCAGAGTATCTGATACTGTCCGGAAGTACAAGGAGGGACCCGAAAACTCTGAAATTATCTTTCGGAGGGTGGGCCTCTTGTAGTAGAGTCTTCCTCTGCTAGGTGAGTGTTCTAGGAACCTGTTGGCACCTGTGGACCAGCTGGCGTTGTTGGGAGAAGCTGCATTTGGCTTCAGTGAATTTTTTTGGAGATTCTCTCAACGTGGTTGTCCATCTCATGATGGGTGATTGATGATCACACCTGTCCACACCACGGTGAGTGTTCAGCAGTCTTTGACCAAAAATGGCATGACCCCCGTGCCCCACCCTCCTTAGTTGCCCAATCTTGCTCTGAGCAACTGTTTTCTGCTTCCCAGAATAAAAGAAAGGGAAACGTTTTGCCCATATGGAAGAGATGAAACAAACGAACGAACAAACAGCAGAAGCACTAAAAGGCATCGAAGTTGACAAGTTCAAAACCTGTTTTGAGCAGTAGAAAAGCATCTCGACAGGTGTACTGCATCACAAGGAGAGGACTTTGAAGGTGACTGAAGTCTAAACATGTAAGACTAAATATACATTTAAAAATAAATCAATTCTGGATTTTTGGGTCTCCTGTCGTATCTGTAGCTGTGAACACTATTATTGATCATGGGCGTTTATTCTGGAAGCATCAACAGCACGGCACTGAGGAACTTCCCTAGTGCGTCCCTGCCCGCCCTGCTCCAGCTTCCTGAGCGCCTGAGCCTACAACGTGCTGACTCAGGGCTCTCCCTCTCTTCCCTCACTCACATGTGCCTCCTGCATGATGGGTCGTGCCATGGCTTCGAGGCCACTTAAATGATGAAGTTCTAAAACCTGAGCTCAGTACATCCTAAACTGAACCTGCAACCCCAACCCCACCCCAGTGTCGCCTTGTCTGTTCCTTGTATCCTGGGGAGTGGCACAGTCACTCCACTTGCTGCCCAACCCAGAATCCAGGGCAACAGGTTTGATTCCTTTTTCTTCTTCTGATCTCCCGGCCAGTCAGTCACCAAGTCCTATCAATTCTATCACCAGAATATCTACAAATCTGTGCCCTTCTCTCCATCTCCACTGCCTCTTCTCGCAAGCCTCTGCTGTCAGTGCAAAAGGCCCCTAGTTGTCTCCTCTTCTATCTGCTTATCATGCTACCAGAGTGATTTTTCTAACCTCATCTGCCACTTTCTTTTTTTTTTTTGAGTTGGAGTCTCACTCTGTCACCCAGGCTGGAGTGCAGTGGCACACTCATGGCTACCCCAGTGTCGACCTCCTGGGCTCCAGCGATCCTTCTGCCTCAGTTGTCCAAGCAGCCGGAACTACAGGTGCGCGCTACCATGTCTGGCTAATTTTTAAAAAAATTTACTGTAGAGACGAGGTCTCACCAAGTTGCCAGGGTTGGTTTCGAACCCGCAGGCTAAGGCAATCAACTCACCTCGGCTTCCCAATGTGCTGGGATTACAGGCTGAGCCACCGAGCCCAGCCTGTCACTTTCTTACTTACAACTCTTCAAGGGCAATCCATGATCTGAGGATGAGGACTACTCCTCAATGTGTCCTAACGTGTCCTGTAAAGCTGTATATGGCCTGGGTTCTGCCTGCCTGCCAAGCTCGTGCCCAACCACCCTCAGCAGCAGCCCCTCCTCCCGAGAGCGGCCCCCGCCCCCGTCTTTGGTCACACATGCACGAACTGGCCTGTGCTTCGCCCTCCTGACTCCACCACCTCCCACTCCTCCACTTCTGCCCAAGTGTGTCTCTGTGCTCTCGGAAACTACCTTTCCACAGTAAGCATCTTTAACCCATTCACTGTGGGCCAAATCTTGCTTCATCTGAAAGTTAGTTCTCATCAGGACACTGGCGCCCTCATAGACTTCTCAGATGGAGGTTTACTTACTTTCTTCCATGCCAAGGCTAATCATCTCAGACCTTTTCTCTAACCTTCCTCTCACCTTCAGTTCACTCCAGACTTTAGCACCTGGCTCACTGTCTCTCTGTACTCAAAGTCACCAACCTGATGACTTCACCATATCTAGGACAGTGTCCTCTCCAGATCCCCAGTAACTTTCATTACCTTAGTGGCGCCACCCACTTGCCTTAGCTGTCAGCTTCCACGATCACCCCTGGACCTTGAAATCGCCTGCAGCTGCTTCAGTTCGGAGCTTGTCCTGTGACCACAGCTCTTTTCTGCTCCTGGCCTTTCCATGCATCTGTTTTTCAGGCTTCTGACAGCTGTCTCTTGACTTTCCTACTTTCTTCCTTTCATCTCTCTTCCATTTACCTTTCTATTATCCCATTTAGACTCCTGGCCGGTAGTTAGATTCTCCCTCGTTTTCAGCTCCCCAGGCCACAACTCTCCTTCTATCCAGTTCCCAGCATAGCCCGAGCTCACAGGACCATCCGCATCTCTCTTCTTGCACATAGGCTGCATCATCGCACAACCACACTGACTGGGGACCCTGCTTCACGCCCTGCAATCTCTTCTGGTCCCTAAGGCTTCTCAGAAACCTTTCTGCGTCTCTCTAACCAGTTCACTTTCCTTATCGCAGAAACTACTTCAAACCCTTTCCCTTCTCCATCGAGTTTAGCCCTACCTCCCACTTCATAAAAGAAAACCAAGACCACCCTGAAACACCTGCCTCAGCTTCTTAGCACTGATTTGTAAATATCTGCATGAAATGCTCGTCCACTCATCCCTCCCTCCTGTGGATGTCTCTCACACTGTCCGGGACTCTGTCCTATTCGTGTTCCCTCTCCTCATCAACAGGAACTGCTCTAGTATCTCCACCCAGAACAAACCAATATTCCCTCTGCCTCTCGTCCCATTGGCCACTGTCTCCCAGCTCCCCTGTGTGCCCGGGTCTCTCGAGTGCTTGGGACTTCAGTCTCTCACATCTCAGCCTCTGTAACTTGGTTTCAGCTCCTATCCCACCTCTGCCTGTGCCACCAGCCCTCTGCATCTGCGGATTCACCAACCATGGAGCAAAAATACTTGGAAAAAAAATACAGCAATAAAAAGTATACAACTAAAACAACAGAGTACAGCAACTACCTCCATAGCATTTGAATTGTGAGTTAGGTATCACAAGTAACACAGAGGTGATGTAAAGCATACCGGAGGATGTGTGTAGGGCACAGGCATAGACCACACCATTTCCTATCAGGGACTTGAGTGTCCTCGAATCCTGGAGGTCCCCACCGACAGCAAGGGATGCTGTCCTGTCACAGTGTGCAACACTCCCCCGTTAGCTCCCGTGGACAGCTCTCTGGGTTTTCCCCCGACAGGTCTCTCCCTTCTCACACGTCCTCCCCTTCTCTGCCCATGCTCTGGCGGCCTGCTCCCTCCCGTGCCGGTGCTCCTTTCCCCTGATTCAGATGCTCCACCTTGTTTCCTCCACAGGCTTCAACTAACATTGATGTGATCAGAATTTATCTGTATTTGCCCAAAGAGTTTGAAAAGGTTACTTCCTACTTAATGACTGTTCTTTATGTTTTAAAAACACAGCATGGTGCAAATCTCATACCTTGATTCCTTAATAATACTCCAGTTGAACAAAACACGTAACTAGAACTGTAGCAGCAAATCAAAATCACCTTTATCGCCAAGGTCTCGGAAAAAGGTTGATCCACAGCGGGCTGTTTGGATCCCTGCCAGCAAGTCCTCGATGTCCTTCGAATACACACATTAAAGTCTTTCAGTTTAACTTATGAAAGTTCATTTTCCGTCTTACCCCAAACAAGCAAAATCCCCAAACATATTCTTACCTTTTTTGTCATCTTCTTGACTAAAGTTTTACCTACAGAAAAAAAGAAACATGACTTAGTACCTGAATTTATAGTCCACATTAAGCAGCCCAAGACTCAGAACTTGGTAAAACTCAACTGGCACCAAGAAGGAAAACCACTTCAAAGGCAAAACAAACAACTAAATATTTGTAAGAAATAAAAGTATGCCATTTTAGCTAACACTCTTGAACCAAAATTATGAGTTAGAGGATTCTAAGACCAAATGCAGAAATGCTATGTACAGTTTTTTGCAAGACCGATTTCCAGTTTCACTCACCTTCGTTCACATATAGGAAATCTTATAACTGTCTTTACATATCCTAGTTGTCTGTACTATACGTCAATTCTGGCCAAACATGATTCTTTCTTCATATAATTATTAAAATCAGTCTCTTTGTACTTCCACTGATTTAAAACACACACACACACACACACACACACACACACACACCTGTGTTTGGGGGAAGTTTCCCCTTTTTGAACCCTGAAAAGTCCTCTTACTCTTATAACTCTCCAGTCAAATTTCAAAGGCTGGCCAGCATGGCTGTCCATTCTCAAGTGGTTACTCTGAATAATTACCATTAGACAACAGAGATTTACAGTTCTCTCAGGTTTGCAGCCACCTTCTTTACTGCCTACACCACTTTCCTAACATCCTCCATAATTCCACACAGGATCTTAGTTGAAGACCGAGAAGCCATGCCGCATGACTCCCCCTGGTAACAGCCTGAAGCTGTCCCACATGTCCACAATACTGAACCATGTTTATTTTGTCTCTTAACTAGGTCATGTGCATCACTAACTTCACTTTCTGCTCTCAAGATTACCTTATCTACAAGTTCCTTTAGTGTAATTATGTGGTCTGTGAAAATTCAGGTGACACATTTTGGAATGAAGGACTTTTCTGTAGTTTGGGGTGATTAATTTGAACTATAAATCCACTGGGGACAAATTCCATTATTTGGTATCAATAAGCTATTAAGATTTTATTTTTACATTATTAATCAAAACATTAGTGCTGAATATGACTTTTTAGAAACATCTGTGACCATATTTGTTAGCTTAGGTGTTATTTTGGGATAACTTATATTCACCGAGAAGCTATTATGTGTCAGCCAAAGAGCTCAAGGTTCCAATGTTCGGTGCTATTATATTATGAGATCATCAAACAGATACAAGCTCCCAATTGATCCACGAATCCAGGCGTCTGTATATAAGCATATGTGGTAATAATGCTGATAATGAGCTTCAGAGAACTGTGTATTACATGTATTTTACTCACCTTTACATATTCAATTAACATACAAAAGAAACTGATCCTGATTCCAGGTTTTTCCTCAAGTTATGTCAAAAATTACTTATTACCATGTGATTACCTTTGATTTCTGACAACTAAGGTAAGTCTCATCAGTTTTTAAAAAGGAGAGTGATCCTTACTCCCAACTCAGAAAGTATTCTAGAAGGCAATAATCAGCCCCTTGAAGGGAGACAAGGACCCAGAATCTGAGGCGGCAATGGAATGATTTCTCGGAGTATCTTAGTTAGAAGCAAGATCACTACTAAGGAGTCTTATCTATTTGAAAGTTGGATTTCTTTTCGGTCTTAAAGTCTGCTTCCTGCAGCTGGAAGTCTGGCTGCCAAACAGCTAAGCCAATAAAATTCAATAAGATGTGAATGAAACAGACAATAGTCATGGACAACTGAATTAACACAGCACCAGGGTTACAGGTAAGAATGTAATGTGAAACCCACCAGGGTCGATTCCCTATCAGTCTTACCTTTATGTAGGTCAGTGCTTAGCATTTGCTTAATGAATAACTGAACAGAATAACTAGAGAAGACTTCATAAAATCCTCTCATCCAGATCCTTGCCTTTTTAATTCTACATATAAAACACACAGCAGGAGAAATTAGGTAATGATATTAGCACTGAAGGATTTATTTTCTTGTATTGATTTTTCAAAAACAGGTTTGGACTCCTTGAGTTCCATGAGAGTGGCCTACTTCCAACTCTTAACAAACCCAGAAACTCAAGCATGGCGTGTTGAGGGAGGCAGTTTTACTGCTTTTGAGTATATTTCAAAATGGTGACAGGCTATTTCGTGTTGTTACAAGCTCTTTTTGATGCTTATAGAGGGATCTGATGATCAAAAATGGAAAAACCATGTACATAATGCAGCTTAAGTTGTAGAAACATGTTTCAAATAGAATCAATAATTAGGAAATAACAACGAAGTTATCTTTGCTGGTTAGTCTGGGTGTTACTCTCTTACATAAAATTCATTTTTAGATTTAAAAAAAAGACAAGGCAGAAGTCCTAGGGGTGAACACCTACTCTCTCCTCTTTTCTCCTTCTCTCTGGTTAATGCCTTTTCTCCTGAGCATTGGGAGGGGCTCTGGTGGGGTTTTTATGGTAGATGCTTGTCTCACCCAGGCGTGGCTACTTTTTTTTTCATCTTTTAGATTCAGGGGGCACAATGGATGTTTGTCATGTGGACATATTGTGTAGTGTTGGGGTTGGGTCTCAGGTGGCCCATTCCCCAGACATGAACATGGTCCAGGCAATTTCTGAATGCTGACCCCTTCCCACTCCCCCTTAACAGTGTCCCCAGTGTCTATTATTTTCATCTTGGTGGCCATTTAGCTCCCACATCAGAGTGTGAACATGTAGTGTTTGGCTCTGTTTCTGAGATAGTTCACTTAGCATAATGATCTCCTTATCCTAGTGGCTACTTATTAAGAGGTTAATAAACAGAGGCTTAAGCTGTGACCTCATTCCTAGGGGATTTATATTATGAGGGGCTCTTGGATGTGTGAAAAGAAAAATACCTTGAAGGAATTTAAGCCAAGATCACAGCCCAACAGTCATCTAATGAGGGCAGGAACTGCACTTATTTTTCCCTTAACTGTTATGACCAATAAGGACTGTGTTGTCACCTGCACTCACAGGAACGTCAAACGTCTGCTTGCTCTACCTTAGGAAAGAGTGAAAGGCAAAACGCACTCCATCCTGCCCACATGGACACTGGGCTTTCCAAAGCTACACAAATACATGAACTTTTGGTTTTCAGTTTCAACTTGAGTTACACGTAAAAATACCTCTTGCAGGGTCTCCCAATTATGGGGATGATAATGTTCATTGTAAGATCTTTAAATGATATAGAAAATGATTTTTTAAAAAACTTAAAATCACTCATAACTGAAGGATCCACTTATAATGATTGCACTATTTTTGCATTTTCCACAGTAAGAGTGATAACTGCTCAACAGCTCAAATGTCTGAGCTTCCCACGTGCCAGGCCCTGCACTTCCCTTGAAGGGTGTCATTGAATCTCTGTACTTCACTACTATATGGGTGACACTGAATCTCTGTGCTTCCTTCGTCCAGTGTCACTTAATCTCGACAGTGGTGCTCCGATGCAGGCACAGTACTCTCGGCACTCCTGTTTCACTGACGAGGGCTCCCAGAGCTCATGACCTGCAGACACACTCCCACTCGAGGTGGAGCCGCATCTAAACTCACTTCCTGTCCGTGGGCCTGAGTGCTCGCCTGTTCAGCATGTCTGCTATTCTTCTGTTACCCATTTTGGATGCCGACAACAGCCATCCTCTGATTCCACCGGTCCCTGGCCTTTCTGACACTATGCCTCTCATCACAGGCACCTGCTTGGCCTCCACGGCCATCAGATACAACCGCTTCTTGTCCACATGCCACTCCCTTGGCTCTCTTCCACGCTGGCCTACACTCCTGGCTCACCCCAACCTGTTCAGATCCCGCTGTCTGTCTGTTCCATTCCAACCCTTGTGCAGCCGAACAAGGTGGAGAAAAATAACCATAATCATGCTGAGCAGACTCAAATCTGTAAGTAATGACCTCAAGTGAGGTTTTAAGAAGCCACTGGTAGTTATGACATTTCTCAGCCTGTCGGTTCTCTTACTCTAACGTCCAGTCACTTCACCTCTTCACTCTCAGCTGATGACCTGTTTCCCAATCCACCGAAAGACAAAAGCAGCAGGATGATGACCCCGCGGCTTCTCTTGGCCGTCCACAGGTGCGTCTTTCTCCCGCCATGAGGGGGCATGGCGCTCCCATCACCCAAGTCTCTGCGTGCCCTGCAACCTTCCTGTCATCCTCTCGAGGACTCTGTGCTAGACATTCCTTCTCTCTCTCCTGCACTGCCAAGCTTGCCCTCTCATCCGCCACTCATCCTGTTGGTGCTTCCATCTCCCTCTTCCGCCTCTCCTCTCTCCTTCCCTCTACAGCAAGACACTCCAGGGTCATTTCTGTTTTCCCACTTTTTCTTAAACCCAGTCTAGTCTTTTGCTTACAGACTGCTCCACCAAAACTGTTCTTATAAAGGTTATCAACAACCCTCCTATCGTCAAGTCCAATGGTCAATTCTAGTCCTCACCGGACTCGACTTTTCTTTTTTTTTTGAGTCAGAGTCTCACTCTGTCACCCAGACTGGAGTGCAGTGGCTGCTCCCGGCCACCGCAGCCTCGACCTGCTGGGCTCCGGCGATCCTTCCGCCTCAGCCTTCCAAGTAGCTGGAACTACAGGCGCACGCTACCATACCCGGCTGATTTTTTGATTTATTGTAGAGATGAGGTCTTGCTGCCCAGGCGGGTCTCGAACCCGCGGGCTCAGGCAATCCACTCACCTCAGCCTCCCAAAGGCGTGAGATTACAGGCTGAGCCACCAAGCCCGGCTTTGGACTCGGCTTTTCAAAGGCGCCTTCTTCCCTGAAACACCTTCTCGACTTAACTTTACTGCACCCTGCTTTCCTGGCTTTCTCCTGCCTTTTCAGCTTCCCCCTGGGGTCTCCTCGTCCCTCCAACCTCCAAGTGCTGGAATACTCAAGGCTCAGTCCTTTGACTTCTTATC